AGGGCCACGGAGTGAGAGCCAACGCTGGAAAGACCCTCACATTGCCCTCCCCCCCCAGATGCAGTTTTTCATGGGTGAAAGAGGACAGACTGGGGTGGGCGAAGTGATGTGAGGGCTGAGGGACCCCCAGGGGAGGAACAGGTGAAGAGAGGCTGAAAGGTGATGTGAGGGGGGTCGGGACCTGGGTGGGGTGGGGGTAGGGTGCTGCTGGGGGCCCCTCAGCAAGCAGCCTCAGGGGGGAGGCCCAGCTGGGGGCCAGAGGCCACTCAGCCAACTCCAGCTTCAGTTTCCCATGCAGTTTCCCTTGACTGGGGTGATTCCTAGTCAAAAAACCTGCCCCGGGGGCTGGAGAGATAGGAACCGGGTTAAGATGCTGCCTGGTAGCTGGTTTTTTTTTTTTTTTTATCTCCTGATCTGATTTCCTCCCTTTCTCCCCCCACCCCCCAGAACAGTCAGGATCCATCCCGAACACAGAGCCCCAGGGCAGTCCCCAAAGGGGGACAAATCTGCCCAGTCTTCTGGGGTGGCAGGGGAAATGGCAGCCCCGGGGAACGAGGAAGGAAAGGTCTCACTGGTGGTCTGCGGGTGCATCCGCTCACCCCAGGAGGGAAGTCTCCACCCCCACCCCCACCCCCTGCAGACCTGCCTCCAGCACCCCACTAAACTAACTCCGGGCTGGCTCTGGGCCCCAGACACCTGAAGCCTGGTTGGAAGTCACATGGGAGCACCCGCCTTGCAGGTTTGGGTGGGTGAGAGCCAGGCTAGAGGTGAGAGGCCTCGGGAAGGAGGCAGAGCGGAGAGAGAGCGTGCCACACGGGAATTAATGCCATTCACACGCCCCGAGGAAATGACTTTTCAAATGCATATAATCTCAGGCATGCAAATGAGAAGCTTGCTTCACCCTGTTTAATATGAATGATCGGCCCTTGAATAGCTATTATTACACACCACATTGCCGCAATTATGTCATTCACTGGGGGGGGGGGTGCTCTCTTACCCCCCGCCCCATAAAAAAGGAAAGAGCCACTTCTGTTTGCATCTTTTAGTTTCATTCTCCTTTTGCCCCCAAACTTCTTGCTGTCTGATCTGTAACTTTATGGGCTGTGTGTGTGTGTGTGTGTGTGTGTGTGTGTGTGTGTGAGAGCGAGAGAAAGGGAGAGAAGGGGACCCTCTCTCCTACCCGAGTAAGCGCAGGATTCTGTGGTGCGCACCTTCCCCAGAGGCTCAGGGCTTTGTCTCACCCACACCCCCAGCCCACCCCTCCCCAGGCCACAACATTCTTGGGTCTCAGAGAAGGAAGACTGGGGGGTCCCAGCGGGAGGGCCGTCCACACCCTCAGCAGCACCAGGACTTGGGGGAAAGGGAAGGGGCTCCGCGCACTGCTGAGAGGGACCCGGGTGGGTGGCTTTGGGGAGAGGGGCTGCCCCAGGCTCCAGCTGGTAGAGGCTGGCGCCCACCCCATCCATCATTTGACAGCCACCGGCCCTCTAGCTGACATGGCCATTAAGGGCTGAGACTGAGCGCTCAATCTCTTCCAGACCGTTGCCCCCAACCTCCCCCTCTCCCCGGCCCAGCTCCTCAGAACCTTCCAGGAGAGGAAGGAGGAGGCAGCGGACAGACGGACAAATGGGGACTCTTCCAGAGGTGCGGATCCGCCTGGCCTGAGCGCCATAGAATGAGAGGAGCCCCCCCCACACACACACAGGGGTGCCACGTGCCCCAGGTCAACTCTGCACCCCAGCCCTTCCTTCTCCCTCCTCCTTCCCCTGCTTTCAGCTGTGGGCCAGAGAGAAGGGAAAGGCGAGAAGAGAAGATTTGGGGCAGGAGGGAGATGCTCTTGGTTTTTTTTTGGGGGGGGGGCTTTTTGGGTCACACCTGGTGATGCACAGGGTTACTCCTGGCTCTGTACTCAGGTGTTACTCCTGGTGGTGCTCAGGGGACCATATGGGATGCTGGGAATCGAACCTGGGTCGGCCACATGCAAGGCAAATGCCCTACCTGCTGTGCTATCACTGCAGCCCGGGAGATGCTCTCGGGAGTTGCCCCCTTGAGAAAGGAACGGGGTGGGGGGGGGCTGGTCATCCTCTTCCACCAGCCCCGTCTCTCCTGTGCTGGACAAGGCCCTCGAGACCGTGTGGCTGAGGGGTCTGCCCAGGCCTAAAGGGGCCTCAAAAGGGAGGAACGACACTAGTTGACATCCACCGGCCTCCCCGGGTGCTTTCCCGGAATCTGCTCGGTGAGCTGGGGGAGCTGCCCCCCCCACAGTTGGGCTGCTCTGAGCCTGGAGGGTCTTTGCCCCAGGGAAGGGCATGCTGGGAGCCCCCCTGGCCTGGCAATTTGTATGAGCCATTTAACTTTCTCCTCGGCCTTCGGTGGGGCTGGTGCTAAACCCACAGAGCCCCGCATCCCAGACGGCGGCATCGGGGCTGCAGAGCTGAATCGGGCAAGCCTCGCTGGCTTCAGCAGCCGGGAAGGGTTTCTCAGTGCAGTGGCCCAAATGAGTTACAAGTCGAGCGTGGCCTGAGTCCCAGGAGCTTCTGGCAGAGCTCCACTCTCTGGAGGCAAAAGCTGCAGAAGGCCCCAGTTGAGACCAGGAAACGGGTTCTGGGGAGCTGGGGGCCAGGGGCGGGAGGAGCAGCCTGGGGCTCTTGGAACCTCGTGTGTCCTGCTTTGGGTTATCGGGGGTGTCCCGGGACACCTTGGAGAGCAGCTCTGCAGGCGGAAATTCCCTGTTAGCATCCCACGCTCAGTCCCTGAGCTGCCAGGACCTTTGTGAGTGGAGAAAGGACCCGCACCTCTTCCCGTGGCCTCGTTCTTGCCCTGCCCCTCTCTGCCTCAGCTCTCTGAACTTTCCTCTCTACTGTGGCCATCCAACACATTCTTTCTGGAGATGTTTCTGGCACTCGCTGAGAGTTGGTGAGGGTCTGGGCGTGGGGGGGGGGTGGCGATGAGAGCCCTGGGTCCCCCACGTTAACACCCAGAGTATACCCCTCCCCGCCACCACACACGCACACAGCACTGCTGGAAGTAGGTCCGCAAAACGGTCATGGAGGAGGAGCAAGTGGGAGTGGCCTTAGGGTTCTGATCTTTTATGTATGTATGTATGTAGCCCTGTCCTCCCGTCGTTCATTGATTTGCTCGAGCGGGCCCAGTAACGTCTCCATCATTGTGAGACTTGTTGCTGCTGAGTTTGGCATATCGAATATGTCACGGGTAGCTTGCCAGGCTCTGCCGTGCGGGCGAGATACTCTCGGTAGTTTGCCAAGCTCTTCGAGAGGGGCGGAGGAATCGAACTCGGGCCGGCCTGGCTGGCCGTGTGCAAGGCATATGCCCTACCACTGTGCTATCATGCCAGTCCTATATATATATGTATTAGGCTTTTTTGGGTCACACCTGGCAATGCCCAGGGGTTATTCCTGGCTCTGCACTCAGGAATCACTCCTGGTGGTACTCAGGGGACCCTATGGGATGCCACGGCTCGGACCCAGGTCGACGCGTGCAAGGCAGATGCTGGTCCCCGCTTTGCTATCACTCTGGCCCCAAGGGGTTTGGCTCTTGAACCTTTGGGCGAGTCCTGACCGGACTCCAGTTTTCCCACCCGTACGGTGAGATGCCCGTGACTGTCACAGGTTCGGGTTGGGGTTCGGAATGGCTCTAGCACCCTGTGAGCACCAGGCAGCCAGCCCCGCGGCAGGACATCTGAGCCGGCTTCCCGTGCATCTCCCCCGCCACACAGCTGACCCTCGAGTGTTCTGCCCCCGTCCCGCCCCCTGCCCTTCTGCTAATGCACATTTCGTTCTCAGAGTCCAAGAGTTTTTGTTTGTTTTCTTTAACAACAACAACAACAAAAACACCCTCGTCCTGAGAGCTGGAGAGATAGCACAAGGTTCAGGCGCTTGCCTTGACGGGAGCAGCCCCGGTTGGAATCCTGGGCATCACGTCGGGTCCCCTGAGCAGTGCTGGGGTGGCCCCAAACCAAAACCCCCCACAGCAAAAATCTTCCTGAAGAACCACCACTGTAAAACATAAGTGTCGGGGAGGGGGTTGTTGTCACCCAAAAGCCCCCCTTAGAAGCCGTCGTTTCTATCCTGTGCCACCCAGTGAGCCCTTCCTTATGCCCAGTCTCCCCAGCCTGCCGCCCCCTTCCTTCTGGAAACCACCCCAATTTAACAATATTTGCCTTGTTGCAGCCGACTTACCTCACTCATCCTCTCAAGGGCCAGCCGTCTCCCCCCACCCCCACTCCCGACGGCAGGAGCGGCCCAGGGCTTCCATGGCTGCCTCCTTCCCTCTCGAACCCTGCCGCTCTGACCACTCCCCCTGGGCATCGAGTGCTTTTCTCGCCCAAGTTCTGGAGAGAAGGCATCGGGATTCCTGGAGGGCTCCCGGGCGTCATCTTCGGGCCTGAGTGCGGGGTGGGCGGCGAGATGGGCGTGGGAGGGCTAAGGAGGTCCCGTCTTGTCTTGCCTGGCCTCCGACCCCCACCCCCCCCCAGACAGTGGCTCTCGCTGGTGTTAGAGGGTGGGGGTGCTGTGGTTTCTTGACCGATTAGGGGTCACTCCTGCTGGTGCTGGGGGACCCAGCAGAGCTGTGCCCGCTCCATCCCAGGGCAAGTGCATGGCCCCGTCCACAGAGGAGTTTAAGACCCTGGCCCTGCCCCTGGCCTGGAGGAGTCGAGCCGGGTTTGGGACTGGGAAGGGCCGGCCTGAGGGACCCTCCCACCCCGGGGCAGGGAGGTTTTTGAGGTCAGAGGTCTCGGGGTCAGAGGCCTCAAGGTCGCAGAGGAGGAAATGTGGGGGAGGGGACCTTGGCTGTGTCCACTTCCTTCGAAGCTGCCCCCCTCCCTCCCCCGGCCGTGGGCCTCCTCTGGGCAGGGCGGGGGAAGCTGAGGCGCCCACCCTGGTGCTCTGCGGGTCCTGGGGGCACCGGGCGGAACCGGCCCAGCCCCTGCCTGGCCAGCTGGAGCCTCAGCCCCTCCCCGTCTCCTCCTCCCCCTCCAGGTCCCGCTAGTGCGACATGATGGTGGAATCCGCCTCGGAGACAATCAGGTCGGCCCCGGCCGGGCAGAACGGCGTGGGCAGCGTGGGCAGCCTGTCGGGGCCGGCGGATGGCGGCGGGGCGGCCGCGGTGGCCGCGGGGGCCTCCTCGGGGACAGCGGCGGGCGCCAGCAGGGAGGCGGCAGCGGCCGGCGCGGACAGCAACGGCGAGATGAGCCCCGCGGAACTGCTGCACTTCCAGCAGCAACAGGTAGGAGACGGCCCTGCCGGGGACCGGCCGCCAGTGACCCCCAGAGGGCCCGGGAGGGGGTGCAGGCCCCCCCCCCATGGTGCAACACAACAGCCCGGAAATCGGGACAGACCCGGGGCCGGGAGCAACAGGGGCCCGGAGGAGGCCGTGTCACCCCTTGTCCCCCTGGGTCCACCTCCAGGCTGCCTGGAAGAGACCCGTGAAGAGACGGAACTTTCTAGCATGGGGGGTGGAGGCGGCAGCGGCTGAGGGCAGGCCTGGAGCCAGCTGCAGACCCAGTCGCGTGCCCCTCTTCAGAGGACCCCCCTCCCGGGCTGTCCCCATCTCCCTCTCACCTCCTGACGCTCTCAGCCAGGAAAATGCAGAATCCGGGAGTTCCAGACCGGCCTCTCCCTCTCCGGGGAGGCGCCCGCCCGCCTGCCCGAGCCCCGAGGGTGGGGAGCTTGGCGGGTGATGACTTAGCAGGGGCCCCAGGTCCCGGCCCCACCCCACCAGAGGCAGAATCACGCTTGACAAGTTCAGGAGAACCGGCCCGGCCAGCCCTGGCTGGGGATTCTCCTCGGAGCAGCACGGCCAGGCTGTGGCCCTGGCGGCCCCCAGGGGCTCTGCGGGGAATGCAGCTGAACATGTGCTCGGGCCCTGCCCCAGACCCACACTACCCTCATGCGCCGCTTCTCCCAGGGGCGCGCCCCCCACCGCAGGGCCCTAAAGGGCTCCTTGGGGCCAGAGGTCAGGCAGGAAGCAGCCCGCTGGGCCGGGAGCCTGGCACCCTGCAGGGAGCTGGCAGCCAGCACCGAGGGGTGGGGGGTGAGGGGGACGCAGGGCCACAGTGGCCAGGTCCTCAGCCTCCGGAGCCCAGAGCCCGGGCAGGGCCTGGGGTGAGGTTCCTTTGCCCGTGGGGTAGGATGGCCCAGTGAACGGAATCGCGGCCTCTAAAATTCACATGGCGGGGCTGGAGCAGTAGCACAGCGGGTCGGGCATTTGCCTTGCACGCGGCCCGACCCGGGTTCGATTCCCAGCATCCCCTAGGGTCCCCCGAGCACGACCAGGAGTCATTCCTGAGTGCCTGAACTAGGAGTTACCCCTGTGCATTGCTGGGTGTGACCCGAAAAGCAAAACATAATAATAATATTCACATGGCTCATGCCAGGGACAGAGCCGCTCGCAGGAAGGCCGGGCGCCCTCCCCGGGGACATGGTCCTTGGGACTTGGCTGGCACTCCCCAAGCCCCCCACAAACTCCCTGGGCTCTCCGGGGAAGTGACTCCCCGGAGTGTGTGCTGACCACTGGGGACAGAAGGCCAAAGGGCAGAAATCCTCCCTTCTGGAACCGAAAACAGAACACACCCCACCAGAAACCTCTCCAGCCACTCTTTCTGAATGGCCAGCTAACGCCTCCCTCCCACAGCTCCAGGCTCCAGGCGGCAGCTCTGAACATTTCTGAAATGTGTAGGGAGGGTGGGGGGGGGTGGGGGTGGGCCGGGGATGGGGAAATCCTCCTGGAGGCAGATGGAGGAGAGACCGAGGAGGGGCGACCACGCGGGCAGGAGCGCTGGGTTGTGCCCGCCGGGCTTCTGGGGTTTCTCGCTCTGCGTCCCGCGCCCCTGTGTCTTCCCATCCAGGCTTCTTCACGTTCCAGTTACTCTTGTTTGTTTTGGGGAGTATCCCAAAGTCCTGGAAAAATTCTGTATCTGTTTCACACGTAAGCTGGAGTGGAGACTTGGAGGCTGGAATGGGGTAGGGGGGGGGCCGAGGAGGGCGACTTGAGTGTTCCCAGGGCCGCGTCTAGCTAGGGAACCGTGAGGGGCGCAGAGAAAGGTTTGGTTGGCTCTGAATGGTGTCAAGAGCCCTGGGAGATAAAAAAAAAAATAAAATAAAATAAAATAAAAGGACCTAATGGTCAGTTGAAGTGAAACTCTGAGCCGCTCCGCTCCCCCAGAGATGAAGGGGTTTTTGTGGTGTGGGGGTGTCTTTGGGGATCACGCTCTCTGGTGTTCCTTGCAACAAGTGTTCTGACCGCAGGCCGTAGCCCCCGCGCTGAGATGCTGCCCTGGGACTCTTCCTGCCTCTCGGCCCCACTCACCAGTCCTAGGGGACAAACAGATGAGCATGTGTTGGGTTTTTTTGGTTTTTTCTGTTTTTTTTTTTTTTTTTTTTGCAGTGCTCGGGGGGCCCTATGGTGTGCTTAGGCTGCGTGCAGAGCAAGTGACTTAGCCCGCTGAGCTGTGGCTCCAGCCCTCACGGGTTGGGACTTGGAGTCTTGCACCTTCGCTGTGGCGGCCTTGGGCATCCCTGCCCGCGGCGAGCTGGGGCCTCGTCTGTCCCACCTCGGGATTTGGGGGCCTGGAGGGAGGCGCCAGAGAGAGGGCGCTGACCTCTCAGGAAGGCCCTGCCCAATTCCCTTCCTGGTTGCCCAAGGTACACCCCCCCCACCCCCCGCACCCAGGGAAGCTCATGGAGCTGGCCTGACACAGTAGGTGCTCAGTAAAGAGCACCCCGGGCGGTTGGGTGAGAGTCTCCCCCTGAAGGACCCTTCACGCAGGCAAAAGCCACACTGCCTGCTGGCCCCACGGAGCCCCCCTACCCACTCGGGATGGATCTGCTGCCCGCCTCCCGGCTCTTCGAGCCCCTCCCCCCCCACCCCTGGGTAAACAGCCCTGGAAATGCAGTTCGTTCTAGCCTTTGGGAGTAACGAGTGGGCAAACAGGGCGGTGGGACTTGGGGACAGGGCTGGAGGCTGCCACGCGTGGGCCTGCAGAGGTTGTCTGAGCCTCTTTGGGGAAGTGCAGGTGCCGGTGGTTTCCACACAGCAGCGGGCCAGGAGCTGGTGGGAACAGAGGCGGGGGGGGGGGGGGGGGGGCAGGGGTCGGCCACCTGAGCGGACTGGGGAGGGGGCTCGAAGTCTGGCCGCCCCGGCTGAGCCCTACCACCTCCGCCTGGGGGAGGTCCCCTCCCCTCTGCCCTGCGCCCGGAACGTGCCCCTGGAGCAGGGTGCGTGGTGTCTTCCGCTGCTGTGCTGAGCCCACTGGGGGCCGCCAGCCACCCACCGGCAGGAGTTGGTGGTGGGCTGCTGCCCCCAGGGCCTCGCCCGCAGCTGGGCCTTTTGTCTTGGCAGTAACCAAAGCCCGGTCCACCTCCCCCGCAGGGACTCTGTGTCTGGCTGGCTGTGGGTTCCTGACACTGGATTTGGGGGGGGCAGGGTTCCAGGTTTGGGGGGCCCTTGGGGGGGACCCCTCCCCGGGCCCAGTGGGGGTGGGGCGGGCCAGTGAGCTGGTCTGCGTGCTGAAAGGAGACCTTGGAGCATGGCTCCATTGTCCTGGAGGTTTGGGGGGTGACAGGTCAGCCAGGGTCACCGGAGGGTTGCCTAGCGGCAGGGAGCTCCCAGCGCAGTTGCTGTGGCAACTGGGGCCAAATCCCACCCGGCTCACATCCTGTGAGGGGATTCAAAGGGGTTGGGGGGGGGGGGCTTTTGTACCCCACCCCCTTCCTAGAACGGAGGGGGGGGGGAGTGATTCCTGCTTTCCTCGCCACCTGGCTCTCCCCTGCCCGCCCAGTCGGGCGGTGGGAAGTGAGGGTTCCCTGGGGCACCAGCGCCCCCGGCACAGCCAACAGGTAGTTTCGTCCTCAGGTGGAGTTGGGGTAGCAGCTTGGGGGTTCCCACCCGTACCCTGAGGGAGAGTTGGGGTCTCCGTGCCTCCCCCCCTACCCGTACAGAGGGGGCAAAGGGGAGAAGGCCTGGGCCCACACCCCATGGTGTGCACCCTTGTTTCGTGGGTAGGCCTGCCCCCACCCTGGCCTTCTCTGGCCTGGGTCCCCACCAGCACCCTGGGACCTGGCACCGGCTTTCTCTTTCTTCTCTTACCCCTCTGTTTTTTGGAGCATCTTGCCCCAAAAGATGCTCAGGCAGCCTGGGGGCACCCACTGGCCAGTCTCTGCCCATCAAGCTGCTGGCCCCTGGAGAGGGCCCAGGGAATGATGCTGCCCTGCCCTGCCCTGCCCTGCCCTGTGGTGCCCCATGCCCGGGCTGCCCCCGGCAATGCCTTGGGGACCATGCAGAGCTGGGGTTGGATCCTAACTCTCTCCCGGCCTGTCGCGTCCTAACTGGGGGGGCGGGGGGGGGTGTCTGTGTCTGATTCTGAGAGTGAGGGCTCAGCTTGCTGGGTAACCAGGGCGGCTGCACCCCTCCTAACGGAACCAGGACTCGAGGGAGCCCAGGGAGTTGGTCCTGGGTTCAGGAAACTCCATGGGAGTCTGCGTGCTCCCAATAAGTCGACTCTGTGCTTGTGGACCCCCCCCCCCCCCCCGAAGTGGCCACTGTCGAGGGCTCTGGCTCTGAGCTGAGACCCTGAGCCCGGGTAATGTGCACAGGGGACAGAAAGACAACCTGGGGGCCTATGCTGCACCCCCCTCCCCCATCCCCTGCCCCAGCCACCTGCCGCCGCGGCCCCAGGCCAGGCCATGAGTGGGCTTGTGCTGATGGTCCCGGGAAGCTGGGAAGGGAGTGCAGGGCACTGGGCCTGGGGGCAGGGGGCCCCAAGGAGCTGCCCCCCTGCTTGCTCATCCCCAGGGATCCCTGAGCCAAGCTGCATTGGGGGGAGGGTGCGAGGGGCGGGGTCTCCCCCACCCTCTCCTGGCCTGTCTCAGTTTCTGCGGCTGGTTCTCATTTTAATGGCTCTAATTTGAGAACGCACCAATGTCATTTTTACGAGGTTGGTGTAAAAAAAATTTACAGCCTTTCCAAAAAGCTTTTTTTTTTTCCCCTTCCCTCCCAAGGGGAGAAAGGTGGAGAATCACTTAGAGGGGCTCTATGATCTGTGTTCACCCCCCACCCTCCTTGTCCCCCCCTTCTTGGTGTGATTTCATTTTTATGTCTTTTTACTGGAGGCCAAAGGTCAGTGGCGGGGAGAAGCTCAAAGTTCTCAGGTCAGTACTTCACTGGTTGCGGGGCCGGGGGGCGGGGGGGAGATACTCTCTCAACCCCCCCCCCCCCCAGCCCTCTCC